CAGGAAATCCTCGTCAGGTTTGAAGCGACCCGACTTTTTGTTTGCTTTGGATCATATCTGTGTTTTTCGTGGTGAGGAGAAAGAACCTCGTACTTCTATCACTGTGCCTCGTGAGGAGCTCTCTAAAACGCTGGTGTGGTCAGCGTCAGTCTGTACAGGAAGAAGTGTAGTAGGAATGTCGAAAGGATTAAATAAGTCGTTTCAACCCACGATTTAAGTGACAAGCTCACTAAGTACGATGCGTTTATTCATATCTAATACATGTATTTTTTTATAATAAATCACAGGCCGACGTCACAACGCCAGTGTGCTCGCGTCGAGATGCTGGAGCTAGTCATCGCCCCAATGAACAACGAGAACGACTTCGTCGGTGCCTCGCCGGACGGTACCGTCTTCTCGACTCGCTCGCTGTGTTGGTCGACCACGTGAGTACTCATACAGAGCCACCCAGCCAACCTGGTGCTAAGGTCATCTCGGTCTCTGTCCCGAGAACAACAGCATCAAGATCATCGAAGTCGAGCGTCGGACGAGCGTTTTGGGCACCAAGATTGAGGCTGGGCAGCCGGCTATCTCGCAGGGAGTGAATACTGAGGTCGTTGCCAGCAGCTTAAAGTACGGCATGGTTGATTCCATCATGAAAGTCTCTAGTCTCGGAAGCACTGTTCCAGTTGCCTGTGCTTGTTGTGGTGTCCAACGCATCACCAGTAGTCGCTGCAGGCGTCTACGTCGAATCGATGGAGTTATCGGCTGCGTTGGTGTTCACCGCCTCGTTTGCGCGATCGAGCCTAATGTGGCGCTTGTCACTTGATCAACGCCAACCTTCGTAATGGTCGAGCTCAAAGCCCAATGCCGCACTTGCTAGCAGTTTGTTCCACCACAGTTTCTGTTGCTGAAGGTGTGTCTGTGCTCAAGCTACTCTTGTGACCGGGGGAACCGAACACGTTAGGGGTGTGACGGAGGGGGTGGAGGTAACGGAAGGAGCGGTTGTGTTAAGTGTCGGAGACGAAATAGAGCTGCCAAAACGTTAATTTAAGGTGGGCAGGTCGCGTACAGCTCGACACAGCATGCACCTTTGCTGTCCCCGGAAAAGCTCTGCTAATTAATGCGCCAATACAGAATGCTACCTTCCGTCTCACCAAAACCTATTCCATGTCCCGGGTGTGACCCGGTCTTATCGCAGTTCGCGCTGATAAGCCCGCCACCTGAGTAGTACTGGAAAGCAGTCGACCGCTAAACAGAAAGATCGAAACGGGTTGATTGCGCACTGCATCCTCAATCGTTCTCCACGAACGAATTCGTAACCGGTCACACTGCGCAGGAATTCGTTAAGCAGCTTGCCATACTGTCATTCTCTTAAGCAAACGGATACTGGTCGAGCGTGCACATTTTGCCATTGCGTTCGCTCGCGATCCAGCACGCAGCGTAGCCTCCTCTACAGCCACTATAGGAGCCCGGAGACGATGTTGTTGCACTGGATCATGTCGAACTGTCGTTGGACATCAGTGAGCCCGCGCTAACTTCAAAAGAAGAACTCGCACTTGTAGATCTTCTAATAATATTATCACTGTTATCACTATTATTATCGCTATGCTTGAGGTTGACATGAGAGGCAAGATTCTAGTGGAGAAAGCGTTGTACCTAAAGGTAAATGATTGGGTCATTACACCAGAGCCCCACGACACCACGCCGCCATCAAAACGACGAGCAAGGAGGTGAAGCTGCCCTATGGGAAAGTGTAGTCGGTGCTTGTGTGCTGCCATCGGGGCCTACTGCGCACGTGGACACGCTGGTTGGTACATTAGGACAGAATCAAGTCCAAGTGGAATTGGTGACGTCTCGACGTGCTGCGTCGACCGAATTACGCAGCGTGGACGCGAATTTTTGTCGCTCAAGCGCGGCACGTGCTGCTAGGAGACGACACCCGAGCGCATCTGTCACAGTGACATTCTTTGGCATCCTCCAAGCCTTAACAAATAAAAATCGATAAATCGTGGTGTAAAACGAAGCCTGTCAAGCTTTATTATCATCTTAAACCTCTATAATAATATTATCCAATGGCCGTGGCTTTTTCGATGGCCGATGGCCGAAAACCCTTGTTTAAATCCCATTTTGATAAAGCCAGGTCAAAACGATTAGTCCCTGACTGTCAGCACTGGGTGACCGTGGCAAAACACGTGTCGTAGTCAGTGTCTCCGCCAGCACAGAAGTCGGCGCCGCCCTCCGAGTAGCCGTACGGGCAACACACCTGCTGGGCAGCGTGGACGTCGGTATCACCCGAGTCGAAGCTGATGATGTCAATGCTGACGCCGCTGGAGTCCTTGGCTTCGGTCGTGCAGACGTAGACGTGGTCCTTGAGCACCCAGTGGGCGCTGGGACTCGTGTACACCTGATGCCAATCCAATTTGTTCTCCAGAGCTGTGATGAGCTTGTTTAAGTTGCTGTATTTGGCTACTGTCACACGCGAGCAAATGTAATCGGCATGACCGTAGTCGAGGCTACTCGTACGCTGATGAAGAAAGTTCCAGCCAACTTGTCGCCGTCGAATGTGCCATCGAAGGTGGAAGTGAAACCCGAGTCATGGTTATCTTCGGTGCTGAAAGCTGTCTTCTAGACGTGGAAGGTGATGAGAATGGCCTTGGGTTTAACGTCAGCGTTGCCCACTTGCGTGTTCATGAGCCTGAACGCGACACCCTTGGCAACAGTATCAAAGTTTTCGCACGTTTCACAGCGCGTGCAGCGCGAGTCCGTGGACACGGTAGTGCCCCAGTCTACGATGGCAAAGGCTGCAAGCAAGTACGTCATTGATTATTTCTACTGGGCATGTATCAAATATGGACGAGACATTTACATGGCGAATTGGCAAATAGTATGTGTGTATTGGAGAAATGAAAAACATGTAAGATACATCTGAATCAATCGTCTTCAATCTCAATATTCTCGGAAAAGCAAGTTGCCATGACATTTTCCCACTCAGCTGTGATGTTCAAATAATTGTGATCTTCCTCTAATGGCACCAGCACATTCGACGGGATATTAGCTCGATATTCGTCTCCTCGAAGTCGAGGACATTGCGTAACATTGATAAACTCCCTGTTCCGGTTAAGAAATGAACACATGTCAATGTTCATTGCTGAGATTGACGCTCGCTGACTAGTAATCATTATACCACTGACTCCAAAATCTCTCTTGATCTGTGCCGATGATGTTGGGTGTAGCGACGCACCAACGTCACAGCCAGCGATGGCCATGACGTTGGTACCAATGCGTCCTACTTTCCTCTATTTTCTTCCTACTTGTCTTTGCTGACTGCCAACTGTCTTCTTAAGTTGCCAATGAGCGGCCAGGCAGACACACGCCTGACCGGAAGGCAATCACCATGTTTGGACGAGTATTGCCAAACATGGAACTTCAATGACAGTCATTCTTTTTCATTTGAATTCACTATGGAGATTCTGACCCGGTTCAAATGAACCGCGGTTCACTACTACGCTACGCTACTTCAAGATTCGACTCAAGGACAACTTAGAATCTAGTATAGTGAAATGCATATACTTACATAGGATACCAAGGGAATGCTAACAAGCACTTCCTCGTAGCCGACAAACAGCTGACCATTTCAATCTCACTTTCCAATTTACCTTCTTCGAGGCACATCAACTGCCTCCTACGCCTTACCTTCGAGTCCCCATCGTTGGACTCTCGCCGCCCTCCTCCGCTTCGCTCCTCGCCACGCGACTCGTTCCTCGTCGCTGTTCCTCTGCGCCGTGCTCTCACCAGTCGTCACATCTGGTAGCACTTGCTGTTTTTCGTCCGGGAGGGGGTTCTTCATTCTCTATTTGCTACGCGACACGTGGAAAGCCGCTCGTTGAGCGTGTGTCGTCGTTCTTCGTCTCCACATTCGTCGGATTTCTTCGTTGCGACCTCATTTCATACGGCTTGCCGTGTTGAAATTTTGCGTGTGTACTGCACTAAGCGTCTGGTCTATAAGAACCGGATCAAGTTAGTACCCGTACCTAAAGTCGCATTCTTCATCAGCGTTATCGTTGATTGCGTGTGTACTGTAAGTGTCTGGTCTATAATAACCGGATCAATTCAGTACCTGCACCCCTCGTCGCTGTCCACCTGTACCCGACTACCTTTTCGGCACTTCATCGCTGTATTTTTCGACAATCAACCATGACTTCCTTGAATCCTCAAGGATGGTCTACTGACGCTATCACGCAGAAACTCATCGAAATGGTTGACAAGCAGCAACAACTGCTTAGCCATGAGTAAGCGTGAAGTGAAAGTGGAAGGTATCCGTCTGCCTGAATTTCATGGCACGATGGGAGAATCTGTTGATTTGTACTTCGAGCAACTTGCTCAGTACTTTGATGCCAAAAACATCGATTGGCAAAATGACAACCAAAGTTCTCGAATTTTGGCCATTACTACTGCGAACTTTAAAGGAAATGCTGCCGCTTGGTACAAGCTGAACAAGCGTGATATCAAGGACATGCAGGACCTTATGGCCAGGCTGACCGATGAATTTGTGCCTCCGGATTTGCAAGAGCGTTTGCGTGATCAATTGTACGCGCTCAAGCAGAAATTTTGCTCTAGCTTGGAAGATTACATCTCTCGCTTCCGTGAAGCCATCATGCAAGTGACAGACATGAGTGAGTTGGACAAGATCACTTACTTCACACGTGGACTAGGCAGTCCTACGCGCGAAGAGGTGCAATATCGTCGCTGTACAACAGTGTCGCAAGCAATGAAGATTGCTTTGGAGTATGATCGATCGCATCATGTCCGCGGTAAGAACTATCGTCCACCGTTCTTTTCGCAGGACCGATCACGCTCTCAGTCCAATAACAATTCGCACCAAAAGCAAGCCACGCCTATGCGTGTTCAGGAGAACGAACCCGAGCCAATGGAAATTGACTCAGGGGGTACTAGAAATCGCCGTTCTGCTTCTTCTTCGTCGTCTAACAAGCGATGTCGTTACTGCCAGAAGTCTGGTCATGTCATTGAGCAGTGCTTCAAGTTTAAGAACAAGGAGAAGTATGCTCGAAAGAACCGTCACGAGCAATCTGCCGCGAACTTTAATTCTTCTTCTCCTACAACTGCTGCTGCCGAACGAGTGTCTATGACCCGCTCCGATGACGAGGTTGAGGTTGTTGAAGTGGAAGAGATTTCCACGTCCACCTTGTCGTCCATGCATCGTGAGAACGAGCTCATTCGTAAACAAGGGACTTGTGATGGGAAACCTGTCGTTATCATGTTCGACAGTGGTGCTACGTGCAATGTTGTTCGGCCAGGGCTAGTCGCGAACACCGCTACGTCTGGTGTCTCACAAGTCACTCGGTTCGATGGAACTTCTACGAAAGCGCGTTCTGTGAAGAAAGGTCAAGCGACTATTGAATTCGGTCGCTACCGTTTCCGCAAACTTCAAGTCATGGAATGGTCACTTGGATCTGCCCATGATGCCATCTTGGGAAAACCTTGGTTTACCAAGTTTCAGCCATGTATCAATTGGCGTTCGCATGAGATTTCGTTTCCAAGTGTTTCTTGTGCATCAACCTTTGCTAGTCAAGCAGCTGTGGAGATTGCTGCTGTTGACTTTAAACGTAACGTGAAGAAACATGTGTACAAGGAAGTGTACCGTGTCAAAATTTGTGCGGTCACGCCAGTTAGTGAGTCGACTCCTGTTCCGATCACTCACTTATTGAAGCGTCTTACTGACGTCTCTCCGGAAACTTTACCGGATGGCTTACCGCCTTCACGTCGTGTGGATTTCGAACTCCACATGAAATCTGATGCTGTTCCAAGTAGCCGTGCTCCGTTCCGCCTGTCTAAGGTTGAGCAGGATGCACTAGATCTCTTCGTTGCAGAGAAACTGAAGAAAGGATAAATCGAAGTTTCTGATTCTCCTTGGGTGTCCAACATCTTTGGGATTCCAAAGAAAGATCCTACTTCTGGACATCAGCTGTCTCGCTCTGAGTGGGTACGCTCTGGATACTCGACTTTGCCTAACCGTTGGGTCATCGACTATCGCTATGTGAACTCGCAGTCGATTGTTCCAAAGATTCCACTGCCTCGCATCGACGAACTCTTCGATCAGATGTCTGGTTGTTCAGTTCTAGATTTGGCTCAAGGATATCACCAGATGCGTATCGCGCTCAAGAGTCGCAAGTATACCGCCTTTCGCACGCACGCTGAAACTTACCAGTGGTGTGTAGCTCCTATGGGATTGGCCGGTATGCCTGGTGTTTGGTCTCGCCTCATGAGGGTACTCTTTGCGAAGTACCGATTCATTGTTGTCTACTTGGATGACGTTTGTGTCTTTTCCATCAGTCTGGAAGAGCATGTTGAGCATCTTCAAACTCTCTTCGAGGTTCTACGTCGTGAGAATTTGTTCTGTCATCTCTCGAAGTGTCACTTTGGTCAGTCCGAAGTTAAGTTTCTCGGCCATACGATTTCTGCCAAAGGACTTGCTGTTGATACTCGCAAGACTGAAGCGATTGCAAAGTGGCCTACGCCACTAAACCAAAAGCAACTACAAAGCTTTTTGGGT